GTAGTCTGTGTTACGTAAAGGAGAGGAGTGAAGGCCTCCAGGCTACAGTACCAAACCTTCTTTAATTACATTCATCTCTCTGTGCAGGCCTTTCTGTTTTATGAATTACAAAGCAGCAGCTTCAGTCTCATTTCCCATAACAGTAATACAGCAATTATCAACCAAAAACTACCATTCATATTTCTAACCTTAAAAAGCCCCTAAACGTATCCTTAAGCAGAAAACAAATCTCTTAAATGTAAAAAAAAAAAAAAAAAAAAACCTTGAGCATTAGATTAAACTCAATTTATTCCAAAAAAGGTCTTCAGTGTGAGCAATATGATACATCACTTGTTTGATCTTTGTGATAGCCCTATGGCAAACTCCTGCTGCTGCAGTACTAACAGGCTTGAGATTGAGTCTTCATTTCCTTTTTCTTCTACCTCTACCCCTCCCCTTGTAGAATGGAGATTAAATGAATTGGTTTTGTATAGTGGAGCTTGAGCGCTGACCTTCAAATGTCAGAAACAGACTGGTTCATATTAAAGTTATGAGATATGGGATAACTAACATCTTTATTTCCTCACATTTATGCTGGCTCATAAACACAAATATGCATGCAGAACTAGACAAATGTAGGTTGCAACAGCCTTTATGAGTCATAGTCTCCCCAGAGAATTCTCTCATATATTTAGTATAGTAATATCTTCCAATGCTAATTTATCAATTTTCAACAGCAGTGGCCAAATGAAATTATGTACTTTGACAAAACTGGTTTGGGAATTGTGTCTACATGTGCAGACTATAGAAAGTACAACTCTGTCCTCAAAGGCAGCTAATTCATGTTATTTTTAGAGGATGAGAACCTTTGCCGTAAAGATGGATTACATTTATGCTAATGCTAATGCTATTGTTATTGCATCTAATTTCACCACTGTGAACTCCCAGTTGAGGGTGTTTTCAACAACGTGCATTTTGTTCTCACTGCAAATTACAATGTATTTAGGCTACTCATGAATTCGCTTATAGGATTCAAAATCTGCACCAGCATGTTCAGTATCTTGATGGAAACACAAAGGACAGGAAACACAACGCTCAATTAAAATAAATATTAAATATGAGGAAATGCACGCAACTCCTGTTTATAACGCAGGCTACACATATGTGAATTTTTGCACCCTTGGCCCTGCAGTTGAGAAAGTACGGGTTTCATGAATGGAGCCTTTACGCCCTCTACAGGCGACTGAGTCATTGCCAGTTTGTGACATTTGCAGTTTTTTCAAGTCTTCTGTGCTGTAGCAGGGTTTAAATATATATCTAATTCAAGATCATTTTGAGGGATATACAGAGAGAGATTGAGATATCGCTTTTGTATTTGAATTTAAAACCAATAAATCAAAGGACAAAATAAATGAACTATACAAAATGTGCATATTCTTATTCTTTGGTGATTGTGTCCTATTTTATCGAAACATAAACACACAAACCTAAAGTAATAGTTCACCCAAAAATGAAAATCTTCATTTACGGTACTCACCCTGAAGCTGTCTCAAACCTGTATGAGTTTGTTTCTTCTGCTGGACATAAAATGAGATATTTTGAAGAACAGTCTGCCTGCACCTCACTCCAAATGTCTCTCAATATGTGGACAGGATAGATGCCAGTGAATAAACGAGAAAACGAAGTAACTGGAATTACTTATTTGAAAAAGTAACTCAGATATTTCATTGTAAATTTAAAAGTAATGTGTTACTTTACTAGTCACTTGCAAAAAGTAATCTGACAATTACTTGCAATGCATTATGCCCATAAACACATTTCATTACACCAAATACACAAAATAATGTTCTTTTTAGCAGCATCATATGACCCCTTTAAAGAATATGGGTAACCTAACAGTTTCCGGTGCACACTGACTTCCATATTTTTTTCCATACTATGGAAGTCAGTGGGGACCGGCAACTGTTCCAGAACTATCCAGTCAGGTTTGGAACAACTTGAGGGTGAGTAAATGATGACAGAATTTTCATTTTTGGGTGAACTATCCCTTTAACAGACATATTAGGCTACGTACTAGAGCTTGTAAAGAGCAGATACAGTCAATGGCTCAAATGTTTTATGATATATGATATATATATATATTATATATGATTGATATATATAATTACATGTATATGATATATACTATGTCACGAACTGCTATGAGACTGGGTTGATATACATTACAACACTTCATCAACAATCAGTGTATCTATCCACTCTGAATGCAAAAATGTGGCATGACTCTGAAGAGATTAATAAATCGGAAGTCTCGCACATTATAGCTTAGGCTACTTCCTTGTTGAAATATAATGTGGATATGAGTGACCCATCTCTGCTGTTATGTCTCTAATGAAGTGTAGGGCTATATTTAACCCATAATATTAATTTAAAACTAAGTACACCTTGACTTCCATGATGCTTCAACAGACCTTATCATGGTTTTTGTTAATTGTTAAAAAAGTGACTGACAAAATGTGGCATTACCGATTTCTTTTCATAGTTTTGACAAAACTTTTGTCACTAATTTCTTTGTTGCGCCTATTTAGGGCGCATTCTTAGAATGTGACTTGAAATGTGCATGATAGCCTGAGATTTAAAGTATAATATTCTGTATTAAATAAACACTTGATCAGAAACATTACAGCAGAGATGGGTCACTCATATCCACATTATAGTTCAATAAGGAAGTAAGCTATTTCCTGTGAATGTGTGAGACTTCCGATTCATTAGCCGCTAATTAAGAATAGAAGAAAGTGCAGGAAATGCTAAAACTATTTGTACTTAATAAAAACAATTACAAAAATGAATAAAAAATATGATAACATATACCAGTTTGGAACATCAAGCAGTGTAACGGACTGTTTTTGTACAGCTAAAATAATTGGAAGTGGCTCACACCAGAAGCCATATTCAGGGTAAAAATGGCATTGGAAACTTTTACATAAATGGAAGAAATTGTAAAGCTAAATATGCAGTCCCACCATAGATGTCAGTGACCAAGCAACCATGGAAAATCACAATATATTCCCCATTAATTTTAACCAAACAAAAAATCGATTGGGAAGCCCTCTGATTGGTGGATGTCATCGGGTCGTAATACACACAATGCCCCATTAATAGAATTTGCCTTTGCGTTTTGTTTAAAATTTACAGGTTTATAATGGAAAATTAAAACTTCAGTTAACACCAGCATTCTCTGTCATAAATAATAAATAAATCAAGTAATAAATTTAGGGACAACAGCAGCATTGAAGAGGGGAAGCAAAAGAACTAAAACATAAACCCCGAAAAACTGCTGTTTTGGAACCACCAGCAGAAACGTAAATCAGCACCTCTGAGTTCCATCCAACTAAAACCCAATCAAAGCCAATCGTTTTTTTTGTTTACTGTGGAATGTGAATGTGCATTAGCATGACAAGCCACATAAAAAAAATTTTAAACTAAGAAGCACATTGTTGTCAGGTTTTATTTGAAATATGTTATTTGAACTTAAACTTTTTGACCAACAGTTTTGAAGCTTTCTGTTTTTAACCATTCATGTAAATTGGAAATCCACACAATTTTTAGCCAATCAGAACCCTACAGAAATGCTCTCTGTGCATGCAGTCAGTTTGGGTTCAGGTCTGCTCAAGGATATAATACCTAGATAAATCTATCCCTTAGAGTTTCAGTTAATCTCTGTGGCAGTTGCTTAGTTAGCACATTGAAATGTACTTATTTAGAACACAAGCTTTTGAATGGGTGTCAGTGGAGAAAAAAAATATTTTTGCCACAGTGTAGTTCCAGCAAATACCAGCAGGGGCTAAAGGGAATAAGTTCAGCAGCCAAACTGACGTAAACAATCTCTTCACATTTACTGTTGAATGCACTTTACTTGCATATTGCAGGATTGTTTTTAGATTTAAAATAGTTTGTGCTGAAACCGTTAATGTTGGTCTGAAATGATTTGGGATTTTTATCTGTTTGTTCCTTCGTTGAAGTCTTCAGAAGGATACCTAAATGCAGAGACCAGCAGGAACTACTTGCAGCCATGAACACTACAAGGTTTGTTAAACTTTTATTCTTATCATTATCTCGTCTGGTGTTAAGGACTAACCGTATCTGGGTTTTCATTGATTCCTCATGATATGATCACTTTAAACTGTGAATGACCCAGAATATTCCTAACACTTTGCTCAGTCACCACTATAGGGTATGCTGTAGGCTATACTTTTTACTTACAAACGCTATCTTCTATTCCACTAAAGAAAACTTGGTCTAAACGTACTGTTAAAATGTAAAGGGAAAAAAAGGTATAATTTTATAAGTCCCCTATAGCCTAACTAACAATGAGCAATACATTTGCTACAGTGTTCATTCATCTTTGTTACAGTAAACTAATAATAAAAATACAACTGTTCATTGGTAGTTTTAAAGTTAGCTCAGGTCTAAATAATAGGCTATTAACAGATACAACTTTTGCTTTACATTATCATTTTTAATAATATATTAGTAGGCTAAATGTTGAAATTAAGATTAAGAAATGCTTTAGAAGTATTTTAATTGTTAGTTCATATTAAGTAATGTAGTTAACTAATGTTAAAAAATGAAACCTTATTGTAAAGAGTTAGGCTACAACAAAAATACGGGTGTGCATTTTTTCCAACTTTATTCTTTATTTTTGTATAATACTAGGAAATACTGAACAGAGAGCCTTGATTTCCAATTTGAACAATATTAACCTAAAATAAAATGTGTAAAATTATTCTTTAGGTATAAGGAGTTAATGAGAATTAGTTAATGAACAGCTGAATATGGTAACATGTAAACACAAACAATAACAGGAAATTAAAAAAAAAATTATAATCCGTAAAAAAATCACGTAATGCTATAGGCTAGTTGTAAAACTACAATGAATCTGTCGTATATTATTTGGGTTTGTGTTTACATCGTTTATACAGCCCCTCAAGTGTCCGGAGGGAGGCGTATCCAAGCATCTCCTCTCACTCTCACTCGGAGGAGGAGATGCCAGACATTGCCCTTAACACGCTCGCGGAATAACTGTCGCGCGGGAAACAAAGGCTTGGCTGCTGTTAAATCAAGAGTCGCGCGCTCCATCCTGAAGCCATGTGAGAGATCTGCTGCTGCAAAGGGACGCCAGAACACATTGACCGTCGGGTTGAGCGCCGCTCCCCGGAAAACAGAGAGCACACGTCCCCGCCAAGAGCCGTATTTGCAACCCGAGAGAATAACCGAATTAGTGCCCATCATAGTAGTAGCCCAGTCATATTGATCGCCTGTATCGTTTACGCCTCCGAGCGGGGGTTCGTTTTTTTCTGAGCGGACGCGAGAGAAACATTCGCTATCAAAAGGGAACGGTCTGGCCGCTGAGTAAGTATTCATTTCAGAACAATTGTTATTTTCCTGCGGGTTTTATTTTCTTTCGTGACATCTCTGTGTTGTTGTTATGCTGAAGGCTTGCATTGTGATGGCGCTTTAAATCGTCTGAATGTCTTGAATACATTGCAACAACCGCGAAATAACAGGATTGCAACGTAACAATGCGAGATAAGTTACATTGACCTTTTCGCAGACACTACAGAGGGGTTAATAAGCTATGCAAAGGTTATGTCTTTCATCATATGTTTACATAAATTGAAGTATCTTCTGTGGCCCAATAACACGCTGGTGCGCTTTGCAGCGCATCCCCGTGTTACAGCAGTACGCGCTCGGGTGTGGGAGAACCACATCTAGCAATATACTGATGAAACTGGGTGGATGATCCAATATGGCCGTGTAGACCTGGAGTTAGCAGCATATGATGTTTTCGTATTCATTTGGATTTTGGCCATTTAACAGTTCGAATCTGACATAATTTCCCCGCGCGTGGAATCAAATACGCTTCACGTTGAGCTTCACGTCTGACGGGATTCTGATGCGTTTTTTTTCTGTCAAATCTTCTCCACACCCACCGCGTCCATGGTGCGTTCATTCCCCAGATGGAAAAGGTTTATTTTCGCCAAGGGCAAAATGGACCGTGAAGCGTTTTGTATTATACACGTTACGTAAAATAGTTTATTTATAATAGCTGTGAAATGTATCGTTTTGTGTGGAAATAACAAGAGGCGCATGAAGAGGGGATTGGACGGTGATGTCAACCCTGGTACATATCCAATGCTAAAGCTTTGTCAGTCAAGTTTACGCTCCCATGAACGTTTGAGGCACTAGGTCATTGGACCCACCAAAGCAGGTTCCTAAAGAAAAAAACCCCCAATGCTTCTGGAATTAGGGTTGGTGCTCTAGAAGTTATAGTGCATTATTTTATGAATTGTGTAAATGTTATAGCCTATAGGGTATGCCGATAGTTCATAAAAAAGAACCACAGAAGCTCTGTGGAAGGATTTCTTAATTTAATTTAGCTTTAGAATTAGAAGCCCTTGGGTATTTCTTATGGGTGTTTAGAATAGTTTAATTTATAATTAAAACAAGGCCTGTGGTTAATAATACTTGAAAATACATTTTTGTTTAAGCAATAAAGTATGAGAGGTATTGATTAAGGACCCCTTGAAATGTACACTTAATACATATAAAAAATATTAAGTTGGCATAAAATGAAAATCCACCCGCTTTGTTTTCTATTTAATTGTTACAGATCTAGTTGTGAACAATTCGATGATGCATGTTTTATTTCAATTTTTTACCTAATTTTTGACCTTCCAATGCAAATGTTGAAGACTTATTTCTGGTGACATATGCAGGACTTCTCCATTAATTTTGGCTGCTTAAACCCCACCCCTGCAAGCTCGCTTTCATCTGCCTCCACTTTTGAGTGCAATCTCAAAGTCCAACCAACAACCAATGAATTCAACAGCCCTAATCCATTATACTTGGATGTATGTCACAATACGGAAGAAAAGTTTTGTAGCTTCTTCCATTTCATTGCACAGATGTTCATGAAACTTTGTTATATTCATTCATTAACATTGTTTTAAGTGCCATGCTTCCCTATAAGACATACTGTAGTCACTGACATAACACAGTGTTGCTATGCAACAACAATAATAATCTATGCTGTGCAGTGATATGATAAACAGGTGTTTTGCATCATAGCTGTCACTATATATTTGGAATACTACAGGCTGTATTGCGTGTAGTTTTTAATAACTGTGAAATTGTGAAACTGTCAAGCTACTGTGTTTTTGTATGAATATGCTAATAATAGCTACTAAAATGTGCTTACAAATATTATTAGTTGTAAATGTTTCAATCAACAAGCTTCCAATAAGGACCCAAAGAATATCTATGCCATTTTTCCAACACAACAACCCTTATCTGCCAGGGTCCCCAGCCCACATTCCTTGCTGAGAAGCATGATGTTACGGAAAATCTCTAATTCATTTAGATTTTTTCAAATTAGTATTAAATGTAAGAATTCCCATTCAATATATACTCTTTGACAGGAGTGCATTCATATATTTTACACCGTTGATTAAATACGACGTCTGGTATTACGCAAGTAGTTATGTGGTCACATGGGGTCTGTCACTTCATGGGTGTTGCCATCAAGCAGCAAGGACTCTGACAGCTGCCGTGATTTGACACGGTTAAAACTGAACAGCTCTGGACTGTCACTGATGTTTTAACCTTTCGCCTATATCTTTTCCGTTCTCTATCAGAACTCTGTAGCAGATAATAGCCCATAACAGACTCTCCTCATTTACTCAAGCCCTTCCTGCTCACTCCAGCGCTTATGAAAATATCTTAATGACTGCTACAAAACACGAGTGCACACTTAATGACTCATTTATTTTTTTCACAAATGGCCAATTTAAAGGAGACTTTTCAGCACAGCTAATGTCCATTTAAATATTTTGGAAAGTGGTTATGGACTACGTTTGCTTAGGGGGGAAAATCCACTTGAATTTTATGAATTGTAAGACAGTCATCTCTAAAATTCTATCTCTGAAAAGAAGGTTCCAGCAAGAGAAAACTATTTTTAGTGTTACCAGCTAAAAGGTGACCTACATTCTATATGTTTGAAATGTATATATGTATGCACTCATGGTCTAACAACTTTTGGAGGTTAGTATCCTCCCTTCCTTTTCTTCTCCCCATGGTTGGTTGAGACCTGGCTCATTGCATGTCTCAGAAAAATGAGTGCATGAAACTATTGGTACAGTCCTTTACCAGTCAAGCTGGACCTTCTCAAAATCCCAATGTGGAAGTTTCTCAAGTCTCCCTCCCACATTCCTTGCACTCAAACAGCACTTAGTATGTAACTCTGTTCATGTTCCTGAGTTACATTGGGTGGCCTTTTTAGCTCTTAGAGGGCAAGTTTTGATTTCGTGAACATGCATATTTTGTAAGTGTCAAATGTCCCCTAATTTGTTTCTTAACCACCACCAGAAAGCTTTTAAGATTAGTCTGGATTTTTGTATTAAAGTGCTGTACAGTTTCACTACAAATGAACTGATTGAACATCTGCAGTTCGCAGTAACAAGAATCCCTTCAGATGGCATGATTTGCTTAAAGGGGTCATATGATGCTATTTTAAAGATCATTATTTTGTGTATTTGGTGTAACAGAATATGTTGACATGCTTTAATGTTCAAAAAACACATTATTTGCCGTTTTAGGTAGGTGTGGTTGACTCTTAACTTTTATAAAGAATATCTCTTTGGATTTGAGACTTTAGTCTTTGCAACTTTACAGATCTTCTTTATGCACCAATAGGTTGTAACACTTCAAAGAGAAAGGAAAACTTGAAATCGCATCATATGACCCCTTTAATGTAGCGGGCCTTAAAATTGAGTTACATATCCTACAAGCCATTAAAATCTACCAGGAGAGGACTCTCAGGAGTTTACATCACCATGAAGATGGGTCTGCTTTGTTGTAACTGTCATTGTAATTTGTAATTGGAACCCAGTGCATAAATAGGACCAGATATTTTTGTCACCCCAAAGTTTATTCCATATACACAAAAAGAAGCCTTTGGTTGATATTGTGGCATGTTTTTTCATGCATTCGATTTTCTCTATAGAAATCTAGCCATGATTATCTATTGGCGGCTCTTTGTCACTTTTGGCATTTTAAACACTTTTGTTGGCCAGAGAGTGAACCAGTGAAAAGGTCATAGCATGGCTTCAATGTGTTGCCCAGCAGTGGACTAGTGAGAAGAAACAAGCTGTAAGATAAGTGCACCCACACTGGAGACTTCACAGATTGGATAAAGCTGGCCAGTGTTGTGTTTTTCCTGGACTCGCAAGTGCTTTTCCAATGCTGTCAATGAGATGTGGCGAAAGGAAATGGCTGCATGGTGTTGAAACTTTTCAAAGAGTTTCTTCTCATTCCTCCATTCCTAAACCACTGATGCAGTGTTGTACTAATTTGCATTGAGTTTTAGAACTAGTGAAATTTATTACAGATTAGTTGAATAAACCTAACAACTGGTAAGATTACATGCATGCTATTGAAATGAAGAGGTTTTAACATTAAAGCATGTCAACATATTCTGTTACACCAAATACACCAAATAATGATCTTTAAAAAAGCATCATATGACCCCTTTAATAATAATAATAACAATAATAATGTTTATTTTATATAGGCTAGTGGCTTTCTGAAAACTCAATGAAATAATACTAACACTATTATCCTTTCAGGATAATAATCTCATGTGACCATACAATTTAAAAACAGCCAAGTCCAAAGGTGTCTGTCAGCTAGAGGTTATACAGAAAGGTTTGGTGTCAGACTATAGGTTTCTGGATATCTGGAAATGTCAATGAATTAAATTAAATTGTGATTTTCAGGACAGGAAAAGTAATGCAAATAAATAAAAACAGGTAATATCTTGAATTTACATAGTTAATGTAAGTTTTTCTATTTTAGTGCTACAAATTGATTTTGTGAGAGCAATCTTTATTTGTATTACACAGTATTTATTAGGGATGCTCCGATCGATCGGCCGGAGATCGGTATCGGCCAATAATCACATTTTATGACTCGATCGGTACTTGGCCGATCTCACAAACCGATCGCAATTTGATGACGTCAACGTGTGACAACGTACATGATGCGTGGGGACATAAATGATTTGGCGCCACAGTCATGTCATCGCCGGTGTGGAAATGCTATGACGTTTCGAGAAACAATGAAAAATTTGCTATTTGACGTGTATGTTTTGCATGATGATATGATGAATGGATGGTTCATTTTTAACAGCAGATTCAGTGACGTTAGAGCTGATCTGCGCCTCACTGCACGCGTCTGCGGCGCATTACGGCTCCACGGCTACCGGAGCTGATCGCAGCCGCTCTAGTCAGTGCTTGTGTTTATCGCACGTTTCTGAAGCGGCTCTCCGCGCTGCTTGGCTAAAACGTGGAGGACGGAACAAAACCTCGGAGCCGTAAGGGATAACGGTAACATAATACGCTGATCATGGGCTGCTTTTAAATGAAGATTTATTTATAAAACAAAATATCTTTGGCCATATTAGCCTACTCAGTAGCATTAACACAGGCTTTACTCCTTTCAAACTTTATCTGGAATGTCACCGTTTCTGTCACTGCAACTTCCCGATCAGGCGAACGAACACACACACACGAAATCGTCTGCCTCATGAAACAAATGTAGTTAATATTTGCATCATTTATGATTTATTTTATCCACCCGCAAATAATCAGAATGCATTTATTACCTGACCCGTGGATATATGAAAAGCAAAATATGTTTGCTGTGTAAATCAGACGGACTTACTGAAAATGCAGATTCATTCTCTGCCAGCAGGTGCTTTAAAGCGGAAGAAACAGAGGTTTCCCCAGTAACGCTGTACACAAATCAGCGCTGAGTTCACAAACTACTGCGTTTGTAGCCGGTGCCATAGCCAGACTGATAAACAAACACAGACCGGAAGTTAACTTCGGGCCAGGCGCGTGCGCCTGATGAAATCGTCTATATATAAAGCTTGAAGCATCAGAATCGGCATCGGTATCGGCCGATCACCATGACAAGAAATCGGTACTCAGTATCGGCTGCAAAAATCCTGATCGGAGCATCCCTAGTATTTATATGTATGTATAAATATAGTAGCCTATGTCCTTAGTGCAAACTGATGATATTCACAGTGTTAAACTACTTGGCAAAACCTGATTGGTTCATGTTGCATATGCAGCCAATGAATTTGCTGCTTAATACTTGCTGGTTAACATTCACTAGAGCAGTTCGCAGCACGCTTTCAGAGTTCCTCTGAAAGCCTTCACCTTCCCCAGCTCCACCTGTATAGATATGCTATGGGTTACTATGTATGCTATGTGCGCAGCAGCAGTATGTCTTAAATACTCACCACACCATAATGGCATATGTATTGGCTGCAGCAAGTTCCTGTATTTGCTTTGCAGCTGCAATAATCTACAACAGCGATAACCAACAGCAGCAGCGTAGCAGATCTATTGCCAAGACCAAATACATTGTCATATCCATTACCATGCTAAAATCGTCCGAGAGTTGTCATTATATATATATACATATATATATATATATATATATATATATATATATATATACATACATATA